TTCAAAGCACCGTTTTTAATTTTTTAAAAACCACTTTATAATACAATTTTTTATTTTTTAAAATAAAAATAAAAATTTGGTTTTTTATATAATTTTAAAAAAGTTTAAAATGAAAAATAGAATGATAATAATAATTATAAGCAATTAATGGTGATGATTTATGATAAAAATTGGCCCAAATAATTATAATTTTTAATAAATAATGTACTTTAAAAACAAGAAAAATAAAATGAAAACAAGTTGAATTGTTTCTACCTTTGTTTTAAAAACCAAAAAATAAAAACAGTTTTAAAACAATTAAATTGAGAATATTTATTCAAACAATTTTTAAAATTTTTCTGTTTTTCAAAAATAAAAATAGTTTTTTTGAAAATTACCTAGCGTATCTTAACTTGAAAATGCTTTTGACATATTTACTTGTTGTGGTTATATATCCTTAAATTCAATTTAAAATTTTAAAATAAGTTAATTTAACACTTTCAACCAGTTAAACTAAAAGTCTCTTAATTGTTTTAATTCATATGTATGTATGTATGTATCTTAATGTTTTGATTACCATTTAGCCTTTTAAAATAATTGTATGAATGATATAAACTTCTGCATAATAAATTGTAGGAGGTTCGATCCTCAATTCTTTTTTTTTTTTAATTTATATGACTCCATCTTTATATACGTGAGTGTGAAATAAACTTTCATTGGGAGGAGCCTATTATCCTTTAAAAAAATTAGAGTCTCCTACCAATCGACTCTTAATTAATCTTAAAAAAATATAATTAATCTTTCCCAGCTTATGTTGTCGGGTTTGAATTATTACGTTTAGCCTTTTTAGAATTATAGGTCAATAATTCTACAATGCTTAATATATATATATATATATATTATCTTTATTGAATAGGAATAAAATATACATTAATAAATACTCATTATTTAAATTATCTTTGGTTTCTGGTCTATTTTATTTTATAAATAATTCCTGGTGATAGCATTTGAAAAGATTAAAAATTATTAGTGCAAATGATGATGTAATATTTATATTAAATAAAGTAAATATATTCTGCAAAATATAATAATGTAAGATGCTCTCCTTCCGTCCATATTGAACAATCGAACACTAATAATATATTCATAATATGAATTAAAAAAAAGTACTAACCATAGTTGAGTGCCGAAAGAACTTAGTTTTTATAAATACAATAAAATATTCGAATCTCAAAAATAATAATAAAGTATTCGAATATTATAAATAATAAAAATTATTTTAACATTTTTAATTGAATCCAACAAAACTAAACTTGGTCATACCTAGTTACCTACCCTAGATATACTCGAATCTTAAACATTTTAATACAACAGCTCTTAGTCGCCTATGATATGAATATGGTCATTATATTTAATTATTTTTTTGGTCAAGTTTGTTATATTTAATTCAAATAGAATAATATTAGGAAAATAAAGGGGATGTTGATTAATCTATAAAAAGCATTTACGTAAACAACTTCGTTTGAATTTTATTTTTTTTAAGTGAAAGTGGAACGAAATTCAAGAAAAAAACAAAACCGTACGCACCATTTCACAATTTAATTCACAAATTTAATTTCAAATCTCAAAGCATCCCCAATTTTCAAAAGAAATAAATCACAATCAAAGCAAGTCCCATCAGTTAAGTAAAATAAAAAGTATACAAATTTCAAGTTCAAACCTATAGTGAATTTCCATAAATAATAAAAGGATCCACACAAAGTAAAATAATAGTCAAAAACTGTTATTTATTTTTTTAGATAATCCATGTGGGTGCATTATGAGAGACGATTTGTCAGAGAAAAATTAGACTAGGCTAGAAGATTTTTGTTTTTTCTAACACACATGAGATTCAGAGAACCTCAGAGTTCAGACATGCATCTTTCTAATATTTCTTTTAATACCTTACCTTCCTAATTTATTTTTTATTATTAGTTTTCTACATAAAGTAAGATATAGTTATTATCTGGTCTCTTGTCATTGAACGGCAAACTTTTGTATTTTTTTATAAGTACATCATCTCTGATTGTAATGATATTCTATATAGAAAGTAATTAGGATAGGTTAATTTTTTAAATTTAAAAAAAATAAAATAGAATATATAAACATAAGAAATAATTGTTTTGAGTCTACTTAGAATTAAATTTTTTATTTAGTTAAATTAAATCTAAATAAAATCTTATTTTATTTTAAATTTTACTATCATAGAATAGATAAATAAACTTATTTTATTTAAATGTATTGCCCTTGGGATCAACATGCCAATCATCCATACTTAAGGTTCTTCATTTGATAAATATGAAGAAAATTTTCAAATGAAATTAAAAAACAATTTTACTATGAAGTTCTGCCTTGTAAATCAATATTTTTTGCCAAGCCCTGTATAATTGATTGGAGATTGAGAATTAATTTATCTTCCAACAAATATTACATTTATCACTTGTTTGATCTTACAAATTAAAATCTAAGTAACTACTTCTCATTTATTATGCATCACTCTCAAGCATGATCAAAAATATAATATTTTTTAATTTCTTGCCTCTTTCAAATATAAAATAAAATTAGCTTTAATCTCTTTTAAAATAGGGTGGCCCATTCATCACCTAGGAAAATAAAAAATGTACTATAATAAACCGCATACTATAACTTATGTCATAATAATATTTATAAATCATAATTATAACCAACAGTTTAAAATAAATATACTATAATTAGCCATAAACATCAACTTATTTTATCTCAACGTAATTAGTTTATAATGTTCCCTTATAATATAACAAAATATAAATAAAATTTTCCATCCCTGACTATATATTCGCACATAAATTAAATTTAAAAAAATAACTTGTTTTATTTTATAATTTGTTCCCATGTATATGTTGATAGCATAAACAACATATATATCCGTGTACGTACAAAATCTATGTATAAAAGATTTGTTTCCCGTGCATATTAAAAATAAAAAGAATAACTTTTATTATTGTTCAATTTAAAAAAGAAATTGTTTTATTTTACAAATTTTCTATGTATATACTGAAAACATAAATAACATTATAATCCGTGTATATTAAAAATCTATATATAAAAAATTCTTTTACCCTTTATATTTATAGTAAAAAAGATAGGTCCAACACCTATCATTTTTATTATAAATCTCACATTGATGTCAATTTTACATTACAAATTTTACACCTATTTTAATTGCAAGTGTCACATAATCTTTCAAAATCTAAAAAAATAAAAATTACTGTTCATCCCACGATAGATTTATAGTGGGACAAGCACTTTTTACATTATTATCTTTAGATACATATAAAAAACATAAGCATCAAATGATAGTATCCCCATTACCTCTTATTTTTATTATGGGTCTCACACGTTTTCATTATTTTTTCACTATAAATATTATACTATTGTAAGGCCCACATAATAATCTCTAAAGGTACAAAACAATTTTTTAAAAAGTATGGCTTGCTTAGTTAAAAAATATAACCTATTTTAATCAAATTTTATCTCTCAATAAAATATTTATTTGTCTTCCAAAATACTATTTTTTTTCATATTTTATCCTTATTTAATAATATTTTTTACTTTAAAATAAATATAAAATAATTTATTTATTAGAAGCACTTAATAAAAAAAGGTAATGATTGCATCTTGAAAATATTAAAAATACCTTATATTTTTTAACGTCTAACTTCTTAAAAAAATACTTTATATTTTTAAATAGTGGAGTAAGTGTTCATTCATTGTAGATCTATGGTGGGATGGATGTATTTTACAATATATAGAGTGATGATAAGATGTTTTGGGGGGGGGGGTATAGATGAACTTCACTATATAAAAATAAACTTTATTAAAACATCACTTTACTCTATGATGAACTTTACTATATAAAAACAAACTTTTTATTAACTTCTATCCTTCATAATTAATTAAAATAATTTGCCCACAATAAATATTCCTGGATCCATCAATTATTGGCCATGTAAATCAAAATTTAATCATCAACTTTTATTTTGCAACTTGTTACTTTATGCATATCAAAAATATTATTATTTTTTAAATTTCTTACTTCCTGCAAATTAAAATATAATTATTTTATTCTCTTTTAGAATTTTTTGCCATGCATCACTTGAGAAAAGTGAGACATGTACTATGATAAATCAGATACTATTTTATAATTTATTATTAGTTTTGTATTTTATTATATAATTTATATTATATATATAAACATACACAAAAAAAATACAAGTAAAATCAATTATTATTATTTTAAAACAATGAATGATGGGCTCATATTGTACATATTTTTCTATGAATATCATATTTATCATCATTTTTATTATGAATCTCATACATATTTTTCTTATAATGGCCCCACATGTCTTTTTTTATATGTAAATATTTTAAAAATTTAAATAAAATGATACACTTTACTATATAATGAAATAAGATGAGATTAAAAAAATAAAATTGGAAAGGTGAATTGTTACAATGACATTAAAAAGATGAATATTAAACCAAAAGATGCTTGGTTAACCGGTTAACAGAGTTAAATCAAATCAATGTGTATATAAAAAAAAAAAGAGTTAAATCAATTTATATTAAAATCTTGAGTTTAAGTATTGTAATATGCAATCATATAAAATAACAATGTTAAAGATATTTTTGAGAAACTTGCTGGATTTCAGGTTACCCACAGTGCAATAAAATAAAAAATAGATATACATGAAGCTTCAAGCCTCTTCCTCCCACAATAAAGTTTTAGTTTACAAGATCAACTTCACATAAAAATTTGGAAGGAGATGAAGGGAAATAAAAAAGAAAAATTATATAATTATTGTGCCAGGTTAGACTAATTTGCCCCAAATTCCAAGGAAAAGACATGCCACGTCAGCCATTAACTCGAATAAAGAAATCAAACTCTTTAAGATATTCTAGTGGCGGGTCCTGAAGAGGTACAAGATATAATGCTGCGGCGACAACCACAGTGTGATTTTGATATCACTGTGATTTCGTGAGAGGAACTTCAAGCTCATGGATCGAACCGGAGAACCAAGTTTCCCTAGACGAAGGCATCGAACTTTTGGTATGATCGCCTTTCTCTCTCTCTCTCTTGATCCTACTTGCTTCTTTGTATGTCTTGTGTGTTATCTCTTTTCATGATTTTCTTTTTAATGGCGAAAACAGAGGAATCAAAGGTGGACTTGCAGAAGGAGACCTTGAAGAACCATGATCGAGATTCATTCACTATTAGCAAGAGAAAAGAGGCCCTCGAAGTGTAGAAAATGAACAGGATTACGAGCTCGAAAACGGTGGATTTTCATTTAGGCTTTCTTCAAATACTTCATCGTCTGCATCAGATCATAACAATGGGTTATTGGTGTTATAGTGCCCAAGAAGGCTCGTTCATCCAATGTTTCTGTTCGAAAAAAGGTGCTATGCGCTATCTTCTTCTTGTTTATTTACTTTTCTGGGGAAAATGAAGCACCTAGTTCTGAGTCGTATAAATACTGCAGAAGTTGATTGGATACCAGGCGCACTTCTTGCAGACATCCGCATCATTTTCATTGACTGAAGACGACATTGAAACTGAGATAGCTGAGCTTTTGAATGGATTGAAGACCAACAGGAATCAGGATTCCTCAGTAAAGCTCAAAACCAATGGCCCATATTGTACCAGACGCAATTCTAAGACCTCAATTCCTTCCCATAGTATTCATTCTCATCAATCTATGGATGATGGTAGGTTGAACATTCAGATCAAATGTAGTATTCCTCTTATATTGAATTTATTGCTTCTTCTAGCCCCAAATAATTTTTATTTGACATTTATCAATAGAAAGAAGGAAGGTTATGAAGAACAATACGTCTTCTCCTCTGGCTTCAAAGAGTTCAGCTGCCGAGTTAGTTAAAAACAAAACATCTGTTTTAGACAAGGACATTAAGAAAGTCAATTTGGAACCATCGTCATGTTGTAAGTTGGACGTTGATATAAAGGCTACCGCTGATACGAGAGGGTGAGAATCAGAAATTCCTACTCTCTCTTGCCAACTCTCTGTATCTTTTGAGTTTTTTTCCTTGTGATTTTCTGTACAAGTTATGTTATATAAGGATATCCTTCTGATTGAATTTATTAGGATTTCTATGGTATTGGGTGCCAAAAACCAACAAGAAGAGAAGTTAACTATTGACCATATGGTGAGAATCCTTCTAAGTGAATATCAATTACTTTCCTAAGTTTCTGCTTCTTAAGTATATGACTAGGGCCTTTTAGCAGGCTCCTCTCCTGCAGTGTTATCCCCAGAAAGGGATGACTTGTCGAGGGGTAATCTCACATCAGAAACTAGACCTTTGGCGTTGGATGTGGAAGTGAGTAGAGTTTGAATCTAAATAATTTTTCATAGCATTCCCTCTTCTTTGCACCACAACTTACCATGGTTTTTGATGCAGAAAAAGGGAAATAACATCAAGATGGAAGATAAGGAGGAAAGACCAACTAAGGAGATGAAGATGGACGCGTCGAACGAAAATTATGATGTAATAAAGATTGATTTAGAGGTGCCAATGAAAGATGATGGCATTTTGACAAGAGATACATTAGAAGAGGACAATAAGCAGGAGCAACCTCCTGAGATGACAAACTACGAAGTGAAGAAAACTGGTAACTTGACGTATTTTCACTCTCTGGATTTTTAGTGCCAACTTCCGACTTCAATTCTTTCACAATTTATTGATTTATACTATCTTATCTCTTCTTTCCTTTCTAGTCTCTTTGTCATCCTCTGTACCGGCATGGTCAAGAAATCTCCCTCCTCTTGGGTATGAGATAATCTATAAATCTGTTATTTTCCTCATTACGATGCCTTCTCTGATTTCCTTTACTGTTAATGTGAATATTTTGACTGGTACTAAGAACAATAACTTTGATCAATAGATACGTTCCACCGACCTTGCAGCCAATTGTGAAGACAGATAAAACCATAGGATCATCAGCAGCCCTGCAAGTATTGTCATTCCTACAAAAAAACTTTCCTTTAGCTATCATTAATTAAGCTCTTTTTACTCTTGTGTTCGTCTTTTTCTCACCTTCGCCTAGTTTATCAGAATTAAATGTTGAACGATTTTGCATAATTGAAACATGCAGCTTGTTGATTTTGTGCTTTCTCCATCTCCACCTAAGCGCTGTGCAACCCATCATTACATCGCTCGCAGCATCTTCTTGCACCAGCAGCTTTTAAGGGCGAACCACATTGAGCCAGCAGCTGTTAATTCTAGTTCTTTATGTGGCACAAAGCCCAGCAATGTTAATGGTGTGCCAACTCCAGAAAGTATGATCATTGGGAAACAATCACAAAATGATTTTCCCGGTGTAAACGAAAATGCTACACAAGTGAAGAACGAATTGGCTGCTTCAAAATTTCCTAGTCTTGACACAAATAAAGGCCCTGATGCTAGCAGCTCATTGGATTCAATGCAAATGGAACAAAAAGGTCCATATCGTACCTCAGCTGGCAATCTAATGGTATGTTCTTGTCTTCCTTAAGCTAATGCATATCTGTATCTTTATGCTTTTGTTTTACTAATTGAATTGGTGGATTATAATGAAAGTGATGTTCTTTAATGTATGTTAACGCATGCTCTTGCTTTCCTATTCTCTTTGACCCAGCATCAACCATCTTTAGCAACAATAGCAGCTAGTCATGCGAGAGGTGGGAACTCAAGCTATGCTTCCTCTTCTGATAATTCCATTAGTTTCTTTGCTGGATCACTAGGTAACTATTTATCTTTGTCAATAGTTGCTTCTACATTGAGCTTTAGCGACCCATTATTTCATAGCCAATGATGTTCTATATGTGACAATTGTAAATATTGAGTATTTTTTTCTCCTTTTTAACTCCTTCAGGTGAAACTGCATCAGTTAGAGGTGTTAGCCCTGCTCCCTCATATGCATTAGCTCAACCAAGTTACCTAAATTCAAGCACCTCGATTGATTTGTCATCATCTCATAAGAAATCATCTGGGGTAAACGTTAGTGCCAATACATTTTGTCCTCTCCCGTAGCACAACTACAACAATCTCAAAAGCAAAGCACCTTGCAGTCTCATCCTCTCAAGCTCGTGACTGAGACTTGTCAAGAGAAAGCTCCATCTATTGTTGGTCAAACATCTTGTTCCCAAAGAATGTGTATAGCCAGAAATTCACATTTCCAATTCAGCCGGTAAACTTTTCCTTTAGGCCACCTACAACATCAAATAGCATTGGAGGCAAGAACGAAAATTTTGGTGACGGGCAACAAGAGGCTTTAAAGGGTGGTTTTGAGCTTGTGTCTTCTCAAACATTTGCTATATCATTTCACAGTCTACCTAGTGTTGCTTGGCAGGGATGTCATTCTGCATGGACTACGCATACGGCACATCAGACAAATTCTTCAATATCTGTAGCGAAGAACGGAAGCAATTCTACCCACCAAGATTCTGAGAAGAAAGTCAATTCTGGGAAATCATCAACCAGTGGGCCAACCACACTTGTTTTTGATGACTCATCAAAGTATCTTAGTTTTGTGTTATCCCCTAAAAATGAAACTTGGCCTGGTCATCATTCTATGATTTCAACTACAAAGACATCAAATGCCCCTTTTCTCGGTAATGCTTCAAGTTCTCAACATCTGCTTCAGCTTCACAAGGAACATAATGTGAAACAACCACCACCTCCTATGGCTACACAATTTAAAGCATCCAACAGTACTATTATAGAACTTGTAAGCAACTGTTCTATTTTTGTCACAAAATTTTCCTCATTGCAATAGTTCTATCCCTGCTTTTCATTCAATTTTTACACTTCACAAGCAACTACTGCTCCTAACCAAAAAAATAAAAAAAATTTATGTTTCTCAGGAACAAGGAAGAGTTTTACATGATCATGCACAAATATCTTTTGGAGGAAACCATAAATCATTCCCACCGTTGCAAGTCCAACATCAACTCAATAACAGCCTATCTTCAAACATTACATTTGCAGGATATCTCCCTAAAGGTAGCAACACAGAGACAAATTGCCAAGGAGGCAAAGTTGGTTCGACTGTTAATGCTTTGAAGACTTGAAGAGCTGAGAATTCTTTAATCGAGATTGGCCAAAACTTTTCTCCATCAAGCAGTTGAAATTCTCATCCATCTCAACATCAGACCCCAACTACCTAAATGAGGTGAAATATATTAAAAGTCAAATTTTATTGTGCATCATGGTGAAAAGAGATTTCTCTGCATACTGATATATCCCATTCCTCATCTACTGTGTGCCTACCTATGTCACTATGTATTTAAAGCTTGCATATTTTGTTATAGGGTTAAAGGGCAATTTTACCTTTAAAGAGTTAAACTATAGGCTCTAGAGTATTTGGGACCCTAAACTCTCTTTTGGTGCAATGTTCTTCTTTAATTTTTAAAAACGGTGTAATCTCACTTCTATCGTTTACAAAAGTTAACTTTGACCTTAAATTGACCAGAAAATGACTTCACAATTTTACAGAAAAGAACAAGAAACACTACAGAAAAGGACTCATAATTATAGACAAGGATAAAAAATTACATCTTGGTCTTTGTCTATAATTTTTTATCAACTAACGGTTAAAGTTAACATTTGTTAATAGTAAGGGCAATATTGCACCTTTTTAAAAGTTAAAAGAGAATATTGCATTGAAAACGAGTTTAGATTAAAAGCTCTTAGACTTGTAATTTAAGGACAAATTTGCCATCTAACCCTTTATTATATCTATAATTAAAGCAAATGGATCATTCACTTTTTAATCGAAAACACAAAGATGACAGTTTGAATCTAATGGTCGATAGACCTCATGCCTATGGTGGGAGATAACCTTGACTTTGTTGCTTTGCAGGTGGTATTGGAATATTTTGCTTCCTCAGGAGATTGAAGAAGCTTCAATGTGGAACAGTCATATTAAATCAATCTTGCAACAGGAAGGGTAGAATCAAGATGATGTTGGGAAGGAAGTGGATGAAGATTAAAGGAAGTTGGGCACTATATGGCCTACATTTTTGAAATCGAAGTAGGACTACCATCTTTTTCATGCTTTTTTTTTTTTTTTGGGTTAGCTTCTTGAAGATTTCTAAATCAACATTACATGTCGAGCGCAATGCTATTATGTATGTAGATACTTTAACTTCTTCTGTTTTTTTTGGCTGCTCTGACAAGAAATGTACTAACTTTGTTCAATTTGTATTAACCAGAATCTATGTTTATTATTCCGCTTAATTCACTCATTGTTGTTTCATGACTAAGGAGAACTAGAAATAACCATAAGAATGCCCAGAAGTTCAAATTGTTGTTTATTCTCTTAAAAATTAATGCTATGTTTGGATACATATTAATTTAAATTTGGACCAGATCTCTTAGTTGGGCATTTAAAAATTTATGAATTTAAATTTGTAATCCAAATTTTATCTTAATTCCATTATAATTTGAAATCATTTCTAAATCATTATTATTTCAAATCTCCATATGTAAATACTACTTAATAATAATAACCTGTATTATTTAAACTAACTAAAAGAATTTTAAATTCATGGATTTAAAATGTCAGATTTGAAATACAAATCTATCAATCCAAACACTATTTAAGTATAGTTTAAAAGTTTTATAAACTGATCAGGCATTTTAAACCCGGGATGACCCTTGTAATTCTGGCATGAGATGAGGCATTGATAATAATGTTTTTTTAATCTCTTAATAATAATATGCAAAAAAAAATTGTTCAAACAAAAATTGTTAGATTATATTTCTAACAAATTGTTTAAACATATTTACAGATGATAAATCATAAATGTCAAGGGAATAAACACAATAAAATTATCACGAGAAAGCACCAAAAAAAAAAAAGGCTCAGATCTTCCCCACCTTAATTATAGGACAATGTTAATTAATATTACGGTTTCAGAGATGGTAGTTAATACCCTTAAATTTAAAAATGTGTGATCTTTTTAATTTTAAGTTAATTGAAATTAATTACTATAATATGTTAAACCTTGATTTTGATGATTACAAAATAGAAAAGATTTTATTTAATAAAAAATTCAATGACATTTGAGGAAATTAAGGGGTAACTACACTCTTTTGTGTTAAACTTCGATTCCTATTCCTTTTAAGTGCTTTTGCCTATATTACTTTACCTATACCAATACTGATATGAATTGTGTTCTTAAATTCCAAAGTATTCATATATGGGTACATTCCTTTCTTATACGGGTACAAGCCTGCTTATATGGGTATAGATTTATCTACACTGATACTATTCTCTATGTTTACATTATCCTCATTCCAATATTATTCGTTTATATCCATATTAAACTCAACACTTATCTCTAAAATATTCATTGTCTATACTGATATAGTGGTTACTAATACTGGTACTAACATGAAGACTTGTGCTTTGTTTTACATTCCAAAACTTGTGAGCTTTGGGTCTCACTTGTTTTGAATTCCTTTCATATTTTCAGTGTTGTGTTGACCTTGTTACCTATCGAGGAACATTTTAAGCACAACCTTGGGTAGACTTAAACACTTATAAAATTTTATATTCTTCTTTATATTTGTATTGCATTTGACTCTACCAATATTAAACTATCTACTTTTTTATTGTAACATTAAATGTATTTAGTCATTACTTTCTCTACTCATCGTAAGCAGACAACTCTGCTGAAAAGCACCATGCCAACACCTCATTTTTTAAGAAGCTCAGAAGGAAAGATGAAGATGAGTCTAACAACTAATTAAATGTGTCTAACAAATTATTAATCATCTCCAACTATAAATATACACATTTACGAAGATGAAGATAGAAGAGTTATTGCACGCACTTATGCATTCAATTTTCTACCAGTCTTTTTGTATATATATTCATTGTTTTTGAACTTCATTGATTATAAATATACTCTGTGAGATAGAATTTTTGACAATAATTATTTATTCTTGAATATACTTTGTTTATCCATATTTTTCATTTTTGATATCACATTACTTTTGCAAGAGGGAATGATTTAGACTTGATATCTAGGATCGTGTTGTGGCAACTAAGAGCTTAGATCAATCTTGATAAAGTAAGTGAATAAAATCTCAAATGTGACTTAGGTACTAAATGTAAGTTCAAATGATTGGAGCTAAACTAAGATAAATACTTTGCAAGCTTTTCTTACCTTCTCTCAACAAACTTTAGTGATATTGTTCCTAACTTATCTTTTTAATTTTGTATTATTTGTCAAATTTTATTAAGCTCAATTTATCCTCTTCTTGAACAGTTTTACACAATATAGTGTATCCTTGAATTAAGAATTTGCCAACAATTTGTTGTAATTAAAAAGGGATAATATTGAAAAAACAAATTAATTACTACTCACTCTGGTCCTATTTTCACGTAGCAAAGAGATATTTTTTTTTATTATATTCATAAGTTATATCATTAAATTTTTATCATAAAATTTTTCTTTTTACTCTCTGTTAAATATTGGAGAGAAAAAATATTGTTAATGTATGCATGTTCAATGGAGGCAAACTTAAAACTGATCAAATTTTTATGCAGTCAATGAATTTTAAAGTTTGTTTTTAATTTTAATAAAATATCTTAGAAGTGATTCATAAATATGATAAGATGAGTATATCTTTGCTTTAAATTTAGGACCAAATTAGGCTTTAAAACTTTTCTTTATAATTAGAACTGGAGGGATTAAATTATTTTATGTTAAAATAATTTTAACATGAGGTTTTTTTTTAACAAAAGGTAGGGAAACAAATCATCATTTTTCCCATTAAAACTGCATATTATTTATTAAATAATAGAAATAAACACGCTCTAAAATTTTGACAAAAGATTTACAATATCTTCTTGAACCCTCCTAAATATGTAAGAGTTGACTGAGAACTTAACATAAAGGAAGAATGATAGAGAGATTTTAAAAGGATTAATTAATTTAAGTTAGGTATCAAGTGTCAAATTTTAAGAAATGTAACTTAATTTCTTAATTTTACAACTCTATTGTAATAAATTTGTAACTTATATTTTAAATTTTGGGACAGAAAATAAAGTTTTTTATTCTTCAACCATGTTAAAATTTAAAAAATAAGTTATAAATTCATCACAATGCAGTTATAAAATTGAGAGATAGACTTGTAAATTTTTAAAGTTTGATATTTGAGATCTAATTTAAATTAATTGATCATTTTAGAACTTCTTGATCATTCTTCCTAAAATAAAAGGCTTATGGGTGTGTTTTTAAATGTATAACTAAAAGAAAATCAAATGGATTAAGGATCTTCTGTTGAGTTTTAATAAAATATACTCTCTCTGTCATAAATTATAAGATATTTTTTAAAGAATTTAATATTTTAAAATATAAGATACTTTGATAAAAATAAAATTTTATTAATAATATCTTTTAATATTACTCTTCTCATATATTCTCTCTCTTTAAGTTTCTTTTACAAATAAAGTACCAAATAAAAATTATTTTTAAAAATTTATATTTTTTTTTGAACAATTAAAATTATAAATTAAACTTGAAAATTTTATTGGCATATATAATTTTATTTAAAAATATTTTATAAACCGGGGACACAGAGAATATAGCATTCATGTAGTTGTATCAACAGTGATGGATTATCTGATTATTAAAAGGCTAGTACTTGTCTTGTCTTGACCCACGTCTCCGTTAATTTATCAGTGTAGAAAATCGCCCAATGTGCTTGAGTTTCTGGTAAACATTGAAAGAATTTATTACTAATTGATACCAAATTATAAATTACTTTTAAGTAAAGTCAAATATATTAATTCCGTACAAAAAATTATATATACTAACAAAACTCATTAAAAATACTTTACAATTTTATTTTGAAAAAATCACTTTAAAGTTTTATGAAAGCATTTAAAATACGCTAAAATTTCATAAAATTATCAATTAGCTGCTAGATCTCCAATGACTTAAGAGTTAATAAGTGTGAAAATAAAATTACTAATTTGCCTTGTATTTGAAATATTTGAAAATCACAATGTTTCCCACTAACCCACCGAAAACTCTAACCTACGGTGAATGGTTCTCTGTTCCTCTTTCTCGCCTCTCCCCAAGTTCATCACCGACCACCCTTCTCTCAATCGCATTCCCTTCGTCTTGTGTGTCTTGCTTTGTTAGTCAACAGCTCAATTGTCACAATGATTCTCACTAACCCATTGAAAGCTTAAACCCACAACAAACAGTTCTTTATTCCTCTTTCTCAGCTCTCCTAAAGTTCGTCACCAACCACCCTTCTCTAAATTGCATTGCCTTTGTCTTGTGTGTCTTGGTTTATTAGTCAATAGCTCAATGGTGACAGTGATTCATTTCGGTCACTAGGTTTTCACACACCACACAAGCTATCGTGTTTGAGAATTCCATTTGGCCTTCGAGTTTGAGTATTCAACTAGTTACGACCTCTAAGGTAATTTTTTATTAGCTAAACCATTTCTTTGGTCAATTAATTTCTTAGTTTTTGAATGGAGGGAGTAAGACAATTGTTCATCTTAAATCATAGTTTTTGATCAATCAATGCCACTTGGTTTTCGAGTATTGTTAATGTTTGCTTAAATGTAAAAAAAAAAATTCAAGCTTTGAGTGATACATGGAAATGAATGAGTTGTGAATTTGACTTGATAATCAGGCTTCCTCTTGTGATGGTAAATTCAAATAATTCTTGTGGTGTTGGAGCCTGTACAGTTGTAGCTATCATTGATATATTGATATGCATTAGGTTATTTCTACTAAAGTTTTAAGGATATTCTAGCACCTCTTTTGATATGCATCTGACTTTATGGGTTCTTAGGCATGTAAACTTCAAAATCACGTTGATAATTGTTACATATGGGCTCAATACTGTCTGCTAACCTTGATGACTTTTTTTCACTATAAATGGAATGTGTAGTAGTAAACTGCCATGGTTTCTACCTAAGAGCTCTTGGGTATGAATGATAAATCATGGTTTTTCTTGTCAAGGTGTTGGTGCATTGATGACAAAATTCTTAATTTTGCTTAAAAATATGTAATTTTAAATCTCTATGAATTTCTCCATTGACGACAACTATTTACTCCATTGACAACAACCATACACTCTATTGAAAAAAAACATTTACTCCATTAAAGTCAACTAGTTACTCCAATGACTACAACTATAAACTCCATTGACAACAATAATATACTCTATTGACTAATGAATCACCATAACT